TTTTTCTTTTCTGATGATTCAGACTCACTGCTCGAGCTGGAATCCGATTTGCTCCCAGCATCCTGCGTCCTAAACAAGTCCGTTACAAGGTCCTCTTCCTCCTGCACCTCTTCATCCTCGACCAAGATGAGATATTGCTTGAGGCCTGCAGCAGGAGACAGGGATCTGGATGGGGCTTGCATTATTATCTAAACACTATTTGGTACCTGGCAATTCTGGATGATCCCGGATTTCATCGGCAAGTTCGGGGAGGCTTGCCTTCCGGGTGATCACTGCATCTGCTGTTGTTTCATCCCCAAAGTGTGAGATCATTTGGGCCCTTGTGAGCCACTTCCGAACTCCCCGTGAAATGCCCTTGTGGCGCTTCACCACTTCTCGCCAAATCAAACCTTTGCGCCAGTGGCCACCAGTTTTCAAGAAGTCCTCATAGAGCGTTTGATTCTGGGTCTTGCCTCATGATCAGCAGGTACTGAAACTTAATATTGATCAGATCGATACAAAACATATATATATATATAAACAGTTGTATATTAAGCTCTATCTAGATCTAGATCTGATCACTTTCACTTGCACATGAAAGAAATCAGCACCGGGCAGTATTTGAAACGCTTGGCCAAATCCTTGATCTCCTTTGGTGTCTCGCGGCCTAGGCTGTATTAAAAATATATCTACATGATTATCCCGATCAGCGTTAAAGACGTTTCTGGCTCAAAGATCAGGCCCCAGCTCTTGTTGATAGACCTCCAATATCGCATATACAACTTGTGGGCGATCTTCGCCTTTTTCAACTTATCCTTCTCATCAGGGTCACCATCACCTGCCCTCTTGGGGGTTTTGGAATTTGGTGACTCAGCCTTCGAAGACTTAGTCTTGGGAGTCTTTGGTGACCTCTCTTTCTTTTTTTGGAGTCTTCTTGGGGGATCGGGCTGTCTTGCCCTCTTTCTTTGGAGTCTTCTTGGGTGTCTTCTTGGGAGTCTTCATCTTGGGTGTCTTCTTGGGTGTCGTCTTCTTGGGAGACTTCATGGCCTTGAGAGAAGTCTTCATGGGAGATTTCCCCGCCTTTGACGGAGGTGACTTGGCCGATGGCTTCCTCATGACACGCGGAGCTGGGGTCTCAGATTCAGCATCGGAAGGTTCTGATTGCATAGGCGTTTTAGCATCTGCTGGAAGGGACTTCGGATTGGGAGGGCTCTTCGCTTCAGCAACGGCACTCTTACTGGGTTTTGATCCCTTTCGAGGAGAACTCTGTTTGCCATTCAGATCATGTTGCACTTGTTCATGGAACGGCACAGGCTTCGATGTGTCACCAGTACTCGAAGACGATTTGTTCTTTTTTGCCTTTCTCTCACTCTCACTCTGTTTTCCCTTCTGATCTTCTTGTTCTACTGTAGTAGATCTCTTCATACAAGCCTGCTCTATAGTGGTCAAACTATCTTTGGCGTCCAACTTGATGGTGGAAGCTGAGTGTGGTCCAGACTTTCCTCGCACTCGGAGTGGCGGGGTAGCGGTAGCAGCTGGACCTGGAAGTGGAATTTTGAACTAATATATACAAAATACCAGAGTGTAGAATGCGATGTTTGTATGGTCTTTACTAAGTGCCTCCTTTAGCACCATCATCTCCAGGAACTTTGCTTTGATCAGGCTTCCTGAGAGCTGGGTACACACAATTACTATAAAAAGAAGAAGGGATCGCATAAGGGGCCGGCGCTGTCATCATTTTCTTTGCTTTTGCCGCTCGTTCTTTTGCTTTGGCGATTGATGAAGGCGCCATGTACCTGTACACCTGATCTAGCTAGTCAGGCCTTATCCAATGGGCACCCTTTCCTAGCCATTGTTGAGCCAACACCTGCAAAAAAACATTAGATTTACAACTAAATTAGCAAAAACACATGTGTTGATTTTCAAGGGTTCTGAACCACAAGTTTTTTGTTGTTCTTTACGGGTTTTTCACGGTCGTTTCACGGGTGTTTCACGGTCGTTTCACGCACTTTTCACGCTCCTGGTTTTGGTGGAGAATTTGATGATTTCGTTTGGCGCCTATACCTTAATTACAAATTCAGTAGTGAAGTGGATAAAAGCCACATAGATTACTCTGAGGAGCACCATTTAGACCCTTGCAAATTGGCAAGGATTCAAAAGTTGAATTTGAAAGCTGGCTCAAAATTACCAGCTTCAATCTCTGCCTTCAAAAAAGCAGCAACATCGCTCAGGTTTGCATGCTTCCACTTGCACGGAGGTGGCCTCAACATTCTGGCCTCAGCCTCAGCTGATGCAGGGGATGTGGGGCTCGACCCATATGTAGTA